TTTTTCTTTGCTAATTTTCGTACCCTTTCTTTTTTATCTCGTTGCTTAATTATTATTTATATTCATTTGTTTATCTTCATTTCTGAACATTAACCATATTTCTCTATTTCAGTACATTGTTCATTTGTTATTACCAATTATTGTCCCATTCATATCATTATATTTGTTGTTTGTTTATTTTTTTATTTCTTGGTGTTCTTAGTCATTTAATTTAGAATATACCATTTTATTCATTAATATTCTTAAATGGATTCGTGTCGTTGTCAAATAAACCACTTGCCCTTCTTCAAATAATGTCATTCTACTACTTCGATGGTATTCAAATATAATTGTTGTAATTTTTATAGATGTTTTGTGTTTTTAGTTGATAAAATTTCTCTCTCTCATTACAAAATAAAAAACACATCAATAATTTATTAGACAGTAGTATTTTGTCGAGAAAGATTTAAAGAATGCACCAAAATCATTATTTTAAGTAACTTTTCAATCCATTAACCTTATTTCTTTCAATTCCACTTCAATATTATTTTTATTAAACTTTCTGATACATTTTCAATATACGCCATAATACATTGAAATCAACTATTCTTATTGTATTATTAGAATAACTTGAATAGAATTGTTCTATACATTAAAATAATTTTTATTGTTTAAATAATTTAATGTTATTAATGACATTCACAGAACAACACAAAGAAGAATAAATGTTGAATAAAATGAAAAGAGTTTTGATATAAAGCGATATTTAAAGAATAAAATTGAGGAATAATAAAAAGGAGAGTTTTTACTATATAAAAAAAGAAAAAGTTAATATTTCATAAATAAAAATGAAAAATAACAAGATATTCAAAAAGAATAATAAGACGTTCAAAACTTAAAAAAAATAAAATTATAAAACAAGAATGGCAAGACAGCTCGACCTTGTACTTTTAGTAGATACAACAGGATCAATGGGACAATATCTATATTCAGCACAAAGCAATATAAATAAAATAGTTAATACAATAACAAATTCAGAGAAAATAGATTTAAGATTTGCTATTGTAGAATATAAAGACCATCAACCAAATCAACAACAATTTGCATTAAAAAAATATGATTGGATGAATGATATAAAAGATATTCAAAATGCAATTAATCAATTAAGTGCATATGGAGGTGGAATGGATGGACCTGAATCAGTTACTTGTGCATTTGATTGTGCAGTTAATCTTGGGTATAGAGGGTATGCAGCTAAAGTAATAATTTGGATTGCTGATGCACCACCACATGGATTTAATATTCAATATGATGGATATCCTAATGGATGTCCATGTGGAATTGATTTTCAAGAAGTTGTATTAAAAGCAATAAAAAATGATATTCAAATTTATTCAGTTGCTTGTGAACCTATTAGACCAATTTATAGACATTTTAGAGATTTAATGAGAGCCGTTGCTATGATGACAGGAGGTCAATTTATTGCTTTAAATTCTGCTGATTGTCTTGCGGATGTTATTATTGGTGGTTCTTTAGAAGAAGTTGGGATGAATTTTGTGATTCAAAAAATAGAAAATGATTTAAATAACACAGAATCATTTAAAACTAAAACAAAAAATGAACAAGAGAAAGAAATTAGAAAAGCAATTGCTGAATATTTTAAAGAAAATTCTACATTAAAACAAATAAAAATTAATTCTATTTTTAAAGGTGAATTACCTGAAATTCCTAAAATCTTCTTTACAGCAACTACTTTTAAAGAACTTGTTGATGTATTAAAAACAAGAGAGCCAAATGTTTATAAATTTAAAGATTCATTTAAAATTAAAGAATATATCCCTTATCCTCAACCGTTTTGGGATAAAAATGGATTGAATGAATATCAAAGAAAAACTCAGAACCTTTGGTCTAACATAAATACAAAACATATTAAAATGGAAATGTGTGATGATGATGAATATCAAAATTATTATGGAATAGGAAATACTCCTTCAGAAAATATCAATATTCCTAAAGAAATTCCTGAAGACTTTAAAGAAGGTGAAATAGTTAGAATTAAAGAAACAAGTGTTGGTGTTGAACATCAAAACAAAATTTTTGAACGTTTAAAGAAAAGACTTGAACAACAGTAATGTTTCTCTTTAAAAAAAAATGAAAATAAAGTTTTGATTTTTAAGTTATATGATTTTATTTTTGATATAAGTTTTTAGAGGTAGAAGATTTTTTTGATAACTATTTAAAGATTATTTTTTTGATATGAATAATCTCAATAATTAGTTGAATATATTCAATTGAACAATGAAACCAAAAAATGTTATTGTTATTACTGACATTCCTAATGTACCTCCAAAAACATTTGAATATCAAATTAATCCAGTTTTAATACTTAATGAACTTGTTTTTGATATTTGTACTAAAATTAATTTAAAAGACTCAGACAATTATTCAATTTTTTTGAATGGATTACCTATTACACCAACTACACTTCAAACAATTCCAGAAAAATCAACAATTTCACTTTCACTTGCATTAGATTTTGCAGCACGTCAAGCATTTGATCAATTACAAAAAGCATCAAATGCAGAAGTATTAAAAAGAGTGTTATTTTTTATGAGACAAAAAATAACATTAACGATGTTTGTAAGTGAATTTACACGATTAGGAGGTATTGGACTTATTTTAGAAAAAATAATGAAATATGAAGGAAATGTACAAAGTTATGGATTAACTATATTAAGAAGTGCAATGAGTTTTGATAGTGGAATGAATGAAGTAGTAAAGAATGAAAAAATTATACGATTTTTATTTTCAATGATTGATGAAGGAGTAATTGCAAGTGTTTGTAGACAGTCACTTGAATTACTTTTTGTTGCTATTCATTATGGAGGATTTAATATCATGTGGAAGATTGTAAAAGAGAGAGCAAAAGACAGAGATGAATTACCATTAGCAAATGTTGTTAAATTGTTAAAAAGTGGAGATATAGAAACTGTTGGAAATTCATTAACATTGTTATATGGAATTTTACATGTTGCACCACAAGAAAAAAAATATGGAATTAGAACTAAATTAAAATATCAAGGAGTTCATAAAATAGTAGAAGAACTAAAATCTGGAGGAAGTAAAAAAGAACTTAAAGAGCAAATAACATTATTAGAGAAATATTTTTATGGAGATGATGTAAGAAAAGAAAAAAAGTCATTAGCCAAAATGATCAAAAAAGAACAAGACAGAATGAAAAGAGTTAAAAATGAAAATACTTCTAAAAAAAGAACCATTGAAATTATTAAAAAAGAAATAGAAACTATTCAAGTGAAAATACCTATTCTTAATGATGAATTAGAATTAATGAAACAACAAGCAAATTCATTAGAAAAAGAAATAGAACCATTAAAAGAACATGTGTTAAGAAAAAATATTTTAAAATTAATGAAAAATATGACAGATGATGAAATTAAAAAAGAATGGGTGAAATATAAAGTATTAGTTGAAAGTGTTGAAAAAGAAAAAATTGCTTTAAATTCTCAAATTGAAGAAATGAAAGAAAAACATTTAAAAATAATAAATTCTTCTTTTGGAAATTCAACACTTTCTTTAAATAAAAATTCACCTAGAGGAAAAGTTAGAATGACTAAATTCCTTGAAACAAGAAGAACAATTAATAGAAAACCTTCTGATAATCAACATTTTAGAAAACCTGAACTTCCTCCACAACATAATATTATTAGAATCCCTTGGAGACGTATTCTTTTTACTCCAAATCCAAAAAAACCAACTATTTGGGATGATATTAAAATTCTTCATGTTAGAGAAAAACAATTACAAACTTCTTTTCTTACTTCAGTCTCAGTTACTAATATCTCTTTCATTTTAGACCCTTCAAAATTAATTGCTCTTTCTGTTTTATTTGCAAAACAACCAAATGAATCAAAATTCTTTGAAGCATTCACTCATATGTATTCTAAAACATTTGATACTAAAACATTTGAATTAGTTAAAAAAATTATTCCGACTGAAGCAGAAGCTTTTCAATTATTTAGTTCAAAAACATTAAATATACCAGAAACTTTATTAAAAAGATTAGCTTTAGCTAAAAATTTACCTACTAAAATTGCTATTTGGTCACAAGTTACTGTTTTAGAAAAAAGATTAGATGAAGTTAATGAAAAAATATCTTGTATTGAAACTGCAGTTAAAGTACTTAAAAAAAGTTTTGGATTTAAAGAAGTATTAACTATCATTACTTCTTATAATCATCAACTCAACTTATTTGATAGCAATAAGGGATTTGATTTAACTTGTCTTTTAAAACTAAAAGATCTTAAAACTAATACTAATGAAACGCTATTAGATTGTATCATTTCAAATCTTTCTAATATTAAGATTTTATTACGTGAATTTAATGAATGTAAACCAGCAATTCTTGTTGAATTAAAAGAACAACTTGATATGACTCATTCTTTAATTGATGAATTAAATAACTTAAAAGATATAATGAAAGAATTGGCTGAAGATGATTTAAATATTGCCTCTAGTGAAGTTGGTAGAGTTAAGAATAAAGCATTAGAAATTTTAGAAATGGGAGAAAGAACACAATCTTCGTTTTATTCCTTAGTTTCATGGTGTATGGGAACTACTGAACATCTCGATTATTTTGATACAAAAATTTTCTTTGGTTTAATTTCTACATTCCATGCACATTTATTAATGAGTAAAGCATTAATAAAAATTAATGCATATGAACAAATGAAAAAAATGAGAATGACAAGAGGTAATTGTTTATCAGAAAATGAAACTAATTTGATGGTTGAAATTATTGATAAAATTCGTTCTGGTGAAATTGGAAGACAAATGCTTAAAAAAACGACTTCTAATTAATTTTTTTTATTCTTCTTTTAATAATTCAAGTAATAAAGATAAAACTTGTCTTGTTGCTTCATTGACATTACTCAAACGGTCTGATTTAAGATGTAACTCTCTCTTTTCAATTCTTTCTTTTACAATTACACAAATATAAATTAACCCAACTTTACTTTCTTCTAATGATGGTGATGGTCCTGCATATCCTGTGATAGAAGCAGAACAATCAGACTTCATAATTTGTTTTACTCTTTCTGCCATCTCTTGTGCAACAACATAACTCACTTCTGTATATTTATTAATACTTTCTTGAGATACACCAAGAACTTGAGCCTTAACTTCATTACAATAAGCAACAATACCTCCACGAATAACAGCTGATGACCCCGGAACAGAAGTTAGGTTTGATGTAATTCTTCCAGCACTACAACTTTCTGCTGAAGAAAAAGTTAAATGCTTTTTAATTAACAAATGAATAATTTCTTCTGAGAGTTGTAAACAATTCATTAATAAAAGACAAATAGATTTTGATTTATAAAAAGAGATAAAAAAATATTAAGTTCTTATAATGTTCTAACAATTAATTTCTCTTATTCTTTCTCCATAACTTTTTTCTCTTTTCTTTTAAATAACAAAATAGTTAAAAATAAGATTATATCTTTTTATTTTTAAGATATAATTGACTTTATTGTGTTTATTAATACTACAAATATCAACAAAACCAAAAACCTCTTTTTTTTACAACTATTTTATTGTTCCTGTAAACATTTATTTTTCTTCTTCTTTTCTACTTTTAAGATAACTAAAACAAATGTAGTTTCATCTCAAATTAAGTTTCATTTATACTCTTTACGAAATGTGATAATAAGTCCAATGTCTTAAAATAGGTAGAACATTTTGTTTCTATCACTAAATGACTTTTAAGAATGTTAAATTTCTTGTATTTAAGATGATATGATTTTGTCATTTTCTTTTATTTTAACAAAAATAAAATTATTTAGGAAAATGAAGATAAGGTTGTAATAAATCAAGTTATCAGTGAAATAAATTACAGACAATCGTTACATATCAAAATTGAGGACATAATGATTAATAGAAAGAAGGCGTCGTTCAGCTATACAATCAAATAACCATTGGTGAGATAACACCGGAACTCCCCATCGTAAAGCATGACTTGCTTTATCACTTGTCAACCCCTTTGATAATAAAAAAGTCACTGACTTACTTTCCATATCTTCCATGTAAATACCACCACATAATTCAACCATTCCACGAAGTAACAACCGTTCGTCGCTCTACAATATTAATACTTTTGGAGTATAATAAAAAATATACCAAACACTATAGCCACTAACACAGATAATATGTCCTCCTAAAAATTGAAGGTTTGATTCACATAATGGTTGTGTTGTCATTCTCACTACTTTTCTTTTTGTTTTTTTCTGGTTTAAGATCTTTACTTTTTAAGTTTTTGTCTTAAATAACAAACAGTTTTTTTATGAAAAGTTAATAATATAAAACAATACATTAAAAAGTGTTTTTTAAAACAACAAATACTTTATAAATAACTTAAGGATAAGTTACTATCAATAAATCTGATATAAAAGAAGGTAAAAAGAAGCAAGGATCAAATAACATTTATTGAACTTGTTACTTTAAACATAATATAACTTAAAAAAAAGAAAATCATAAAAACATAAATTTATATTATTATTTCAAAATAAAAATCATTATTAACATTATATCCAATAACAGAGCAATAAATTAGAGTAAAGTAAATTGTTTTTATTATATTATAATAAATTGATATAATTGATTTTGATTTAAACGACATTTTGTATAGATAATATTGTTTTACAATTATTTTAATAACTAATATAATACCAATAAAATGAATCATTATTATAGATAAAATACTACTATTTAATGAAAATAAATATATAACTAATATGGTAATGAAATAATAAATTAGAAATTGAATGTCTTTTTTAAGAGTGGAGTTATAATAATTGTAGTTGAAGAAAAATTAATTTAACAGTTTGACTGTATTATTTTCAGTATATATTATGATAATATAATATGATGAATATTTTATTCATAATATCTGTGTATTGAATATATTATTAATATTTAAATAATACATTCTTATACATTATTATTTAATAATTGAGTTAAAACATTAAGCGTAGTTATTGCTTATGAAACAAAATAAGCATTATTTTCTGCTATTTTATATTAGTTCTTTCATTCATATCAAAGTGTTATGAAATGT